ATATTTGAAACACAGCAAACTAGGCTGGTTACAGTTATGGAGATGTCACCATGGAAGCAAAGAGCAGACTACAGAAGAACCACAATCAACATGGAGATGATACACGCCAATGGCATAGTGAGATGAATAGACAGCAAACGTCTTCTCTTCTGAAATGTATTCGAGCAAAATAATCAGTATCTATAATATCTGGATCTGTTTGGTTCGTTTTTTGGCTGTTTTGGAGCCACCGTAGTTTCTCTGTCTGTTTACTAAAAATTAAAAATAATGTTTCTCCATAACTCCTGCACGTACAAAGCAACTGTTTGCTAACAAGTTCACTGTGTCAACAAAAGGTGATATGTCAGTGCTCTGCTTACAATTTGTTTTCGCTTCCCCCAAGTGGTAAAAAAAAAACAGTTATTGCAGCTTTAAGTCAACCTGATCCAACACTAACTTCAGCAGATCCGACGAGCTGACAGATTACTACTCAGATGTAACTTGGCCACAGTTTACAATTGGTCATCACCTAGACATAATATCCACCACTGTTTTCACTCTGCTCTCTTTCATCTGCTCCGAGTAGTCACACTGTTTGCTTTATCATTGCCAAAACTCTGCAGCAAGACGCCAGAATGTGTAAAAGGCCACTTGGACTTTATCATCTCTCTCACCCTCACACTTCCACCCATGCAATTGCAAATTCTCCTATGTTTTTTTTTTTTGTCTAGTATTTATGGGTTCACCTTTGCCTCCTTCTCAGCTCTTCTCAGCGCTCTCTACATTGTAACATCTTCTTATTTTTCTTCTTCTTCCAACCGCCTTTCCCTCCACCTCACGCCTTTCTTGTGTCCAGACGTATAGTACTCTCCTCCGAGTGATGGGTTCTCAACTCTTCAGATGGCACAGTCATTTCCACAGAAGCTCAATTTCAAGGCTAGGGAGGAAGGGGGAGGCAAGGGGGAGAGCAGAGCATCCAACATGGTGGCAAGTGATCCAACGCTGAAACACACTCACTCTCACACCACTGGTTTCCATGAGACGATCTGACGTTTGGAGAAAAGTTCAGAGAGCAGGCGACACTGTTTAACAGATCTGAGGAGGAATACTTTTCCTCTCCAGACCTGAAATTGAACTAATTAAAACATTATGTTTTTTTGTTATATTTTTGTCATATTGTGATATGACTCAGCTTTGTTCAAGTGTCATACTTTCTCAAGTCAAAAACCAAAGTAAAATACAGCTTGCAGTTTTGACACGTGGAGTGTTGAATGCCTAGCCATCTGTCTGCTGTGCGTACATGCAACATTACAGGCTATTATTAATTTCGGCATCAATTGATTTCAGTAAAAACACTCACATTAGAGAAATTTTAAATCAATCAAATCACATTGGGGATCTCATAACAAGAAAAATGGTTTACGGTCAGGTGTCTACCTAATGGTTCCGTCAGGAATAATTCTCATTTTTGCCATTTGAGGAAATGAAAATCACAACCTCTTTTAACCTAAAAAACATTTTTTTATATGCTGCTTATCATCTGGCTTGCTGTTTGTTGTTTATTTCTGATGTTTGAGGATGTCTTCCATACATTAGTTTCTGTTGAGACCATTCTGCAGTAGCAAGGGGGAGGATCACTACGTAGAAAAGGTTCTCCAAGAACAAAGAAAGACATGACAGAAAAACTGAAAGTGTGTTGAATATATTATACTGTATATTTAACCAAAAAATCCAGAATATATGAATCAACAAGCCATCTTTATACTGGTATTTCCAGAACATAATATTAATCGTAAGTGTCCAATAAAGAAGGGCACTTTTTCTTCAAAACTAATGCAATCTTCTAAATCTAATTTCCAAAATGTTCATGCCAATTGTCTTGAATTTTGAATGCTTTACAAGAAGGCGGATTTATATCTAGCATGGAATCTTATTTTTAAAATTAAATATCCAGCATGATGAACAGACTGATTTCACTGTTAAATAGTTTAGGTCCAGATTTTACATTCAAACAAGTGTTTCTTTTATTGACACAATACATTTATGAGTCATGGAAAAAAAAACACAACCAACACACAATGAAAGTGAGTGGGAATGAAAAAATACAAGATGCACAGCAAGAGGGAGAACAGGGAGGGGTAGTGACGTCCAAGTTAAGTGTGTAATTGTATTGGGACTATAGAACATAACTCAGCACGTCCATATGACAGGATGTATCGCTGCTGCAGATTCTCCACAGTGGACTGCGTCACAGCCAACGACAGACCCACGCACTTCTCTAAAATGTACATTAAATACACCAATCGATGTACTGTACAGTGAATTGTAAGGTGAATTGTACAGTGAATATACAACAACCTCTTGTTATTCAAAGAAAGTGGGGATGCTGCCAATTCTGGCTAATACGTGATTTATCCATCTGTAATTTTGTAACATGCTTCCTACATCCCTAACCAAGGAGAACCCGACATCACCTTTGTTACCTTTAACAATAAAAAGGTAGCCCAGTCGCCAACCTGAGAATAGCAGGGGTTCGGTCCTCCACCCACACAGAGATCCTGTGGTAATAAAGACGTTTCCACTGCCTTGGCACTACACTTCACTACTTGCTGCTGTAGGGTAATGGTTGGGGATCACAGGAGAATAAACAAAAAAAGCTGCTATCTGGCTTTTCAGTGCACGGCAGGAAGTTCTAGATAGCCCTTAATCTGCCCGCGCCGAAGAAAACGTAAACTGATAACAGGTAAAGAAATGGATAAAGATGAATGATCACAGGAGTCACGCTTTCTCACCTTTCTAATGACTCTAAGAAGCCAAATGTTCTGCTGCTGAGCTGTACCCCACACATGCAGCATTGTCATCTTTTGCAGCACAGATATCACAATAATTGTCACAGAGGCTCAAGTATTTAACTTTGCATTCCTGCCTTAGAGAGGCAAATCTCAGAGGTTCAGTTCTTGAGCTTAATGCATGCTTAACAAGCTAAGTTTGCATATTCATATGCCTTGATTATCTCATAGTAATGAATGTTTCAGCTACAATCTTTCTGTACTGTCTGTCTTACTGTCCCATGTAATGCAAATACAATATCCATAGTGTTATCAACAACTACAAAAGCCATCATGCATCCATCCCATGAAGAAGAGAGAGAGATCTGTGTATCAAGTGCTCTGGGTATTACCCCACTACAATGTTAGCTCAAAAAAGCAATGCATTCCTTATGCACAGTACAAGAAAAGGCACTGTCTACATCCAAGAACATGCATCTGTCAGTCCACTTCCATGATGCATTCATGGTCAGACTCCACTGACAAACAGTGCTGCAAAAAGACAGTTCAGCCTCTGCACACATGCACATATTTTTAATCTGAAAATGTGGAATTTTAAATACATTGTCATTTAGAAAAAAGGTACATGAATTGTAATCTCAGTGCAATGTAATCATTTGTTTACATGCATTAAAAAAAACGACAGATTGCCCCAACATACGTAAGCATGAGCACAGAATATTATTCAGATCCAGTAGGGCTGCACAATTAATCAAAATATTATTGAAATTGCAATATGGCAATGTTCAAATTGCAAGAGCTGCAATGTTTTGTTTAAGGTAAAATGTGTGACAAAACAGCACAATAAAGTATTGTAATGCTGTAGAGATGCCCTGGTCTACAAATCTTGTTGATTTAGGAAAACATGTTTGTTTGATACAGACCCCCCAAAATTTCACATTTCATGCATGATTTTAATCATTTTTTTTATGAAAAATAAATTTGAGATGCAAAAATAATGATTCCCACACTAATCACAATATGACGTTTTCACCATATAATGCAGAAAAAATATCCAGTCACATTCCCATCTTCCATGACATGACTTTAAAACGTTAAACATATAAAGGAATAGGATGTCGCACACATGGTAGACAATGTCCCAGCAGAGAATTAATTAAAGCTACAGATCTTCTCACTGCAGCATCACTCTGCAGAATGACACTCACTGACATGAGAAGACACAGAAGCCAGTACCTTGTCTGCACAATATCAGTAAGTAGGAGCACTGACGGGTCTATTGTCCCTATGTTGTGGGTGTATCATCATGCAGTCAGCTCCAGAATTGATCTTTTTCCAGTCACTGGGAAGTGTATATATGTGTATATATGTAATATGTTTCTCAATACAAGCACCTTCACCTGTTTCATTCAGGTTTGAGAGTAATACGCTGTACTTTCAGACGACACACCCCACAGCTGTATTGAGAAGTGTTGTCATACTGTGGAGTGGCATTTACTTGTAATGATCTGAGCCAATCCAGTTTGATGAGGCGCATTCTTCTTCTACTCAGTGTATAAGCTCACCACCTTCTAAAATAGACAGCAACAGTCTCCTGACACTGCTGATCAAGACTTCAGTGTCTGGCAGATTTCCATTAACTTAATTTTCGGCATCCAATATTTCCTCTCTTTTTTTGCATTGTAGTTTATTGTTTCTTTTTTGTGTACAAGCACCCTTCTGGCCATCTCACCTTAATTTGACCTCAGTAATCCTTAAAACTCTACCGTTTTCATCTTTGTCTCCCTCACTCCTCACTCTTTCCTTTGCCTTTCTCCCCGTTAGCGGCCACAGTATCGGATGTCTCCAAGGAAATGTTATACTAGCAAAGACAGAAACAACAGGGTGTTGATTACAGGGCATATATATACATATATGCACCCTGACTAAATGTGGAAGCTTTATTTGAAAATCCACAATATCCGGTTGACTGTACAGCTATGCAAAATGAGCAAAAAAATACTCAAAGAAAGTGCTTCAAATAAACAAAATCTGAGAAGATTTCAGTACAAACACTCATCAAACACTGAAACAACAGGCACTGTTGTCCAGCTGCCACACCTGTGTTCAATTTGGCTACTAATTGTTCTGTGAGCAGCTGTTGCTAATGTGTTCGTTAAGACCTGCAACGCTGATACAAACGACACAAAGGGCTTGCTTATAAGCCCGAAGGTTATAGGTTGTCCCAATGAGCATCAAACCATAGCTTCTAAGGAGTAAAGGGTGCTGCATCTCAGCTAACAGCCATGGCTTTTGGACTCCTTTTGTGGTGAGTTTCATTCATGCTGTGAGTTTCTCAGCACTTCATTTTCTTAATTACGTTTTGAGCAGACTTTAATCAGATGTTGGTTTTTACTGCTCTTTTGCAGGGTTTCCTGTATCTCTTTTTTCTTATTTGATGGCAGTGTTGGTGTACCAGCTATAAAAGGTAATGACTTTTGTATTAGCACATTGGGGCGACACATCTATTCTATTTAACTGCTAATTTTACAGGGTATGGATATTCATATAAATCTGACCCCCGTAACATGGTTGATGAAGAGGAAGTGATCTGGCCAACCTTTGATCAGATTAACTGGCAGTTTTCAAACAACCCACCAGCTGGCAGTGTATACGCAACCAACAACAAGCCTGAATTTACGCAGTCAGCTTGGGCTCCATCTCGACAAGACCTGCCAAACACACCCAGTGCTCGTGAGGTACAGGGACTTAATAATGGTCTGTCAAGGCACTGGGGACCGGAAACTGCTGACAAACCACTTTTATTTCCTTTAAAGCTGACTGATCCAGCCAAGCCTCAGCCAGGTCCCGTCCAACCTCAACCAGCACCACTTGGTGTAGCCTCTACGTACAGTATGCCTTCCTCTCCAAGTGCTGGTGGCCCAACTTCCTACTATGCCCCATCCTCTACCCCTCGTGCTGCGCAGTCTCCTAGCTTTGATTCTTGGCAGCCTAAGCCAGATAGCAGTGGTTATGGTATGATTGGCTATAACACTGGCTCCAGTGCAGATGGTGGAGCTAATGTTCCCCGTCTTGTCTACGAGGAGGTCTTTCAATATCCCTCTGATAACACTAAGCCCGCGAGTAATGGTGCCATCTACAATGCTGCAGGAGGGTCTTCAGTTAAATACGACTCCCCACTATTGCCCAGTTATCCACCTAATCTAGAAGCCCAGCCTGCCGATCCATCTGGGATGGGGAGTTTCCCTGGAGGAGTGAACCTCAATATTGGTCAAACAGACGAGCCACGTCATGAGATTCCTTCGCTTCCACAAAAAACAGTTATCAGGACCCAAAAAGTTGTTTCCCAGAGACTGACTGAACCAGTCCCTCCTTCACGCTACATTATCCAGTCCAGAAATGGCTACCAGCGACGCCGGCGTCACCTCTCCAAATCCAGGGTCAAAGGGTCCAGCACAGAGTCAACCAGCTGCACCTAAGGGTGTAAGTAACCCTCAAAGGTATGTCCACTACTTGAAACTTCAGTCTCTAAATCTCTGAACAAATATCCTCAAAATGATTACTAATCAATAAGGGTTTGTCTTCCAGAACCAAGTGGTAACCAACATGGCTATTGTGGCAGCGTTGCAGGTAAATGTTTAAATTAATAACACTTCAAAGTAACGGTCCTGCAAATATTAACCTCTGCTTTCTTGCTTGCAGAATGCTGCGTCTGCTGAAGACAATAAAACTCTTAAAATTGTATTTGCTGTGAGGGACTCATTTCCATGTGTACGCTTAGATCTGCTGCCTCCATACAGTATTTGCGTATGGAACTATGAACCTACCGGTACAAATGCTTAAAGTTTAAAGCTGCATGTATGATGGCGATGACTGCTTAATAAGACAGCAGTACTCAAATTTTCAGTGAATCAAGGAGCTTTAATCTTTACAGATGTTTGCTATCTCTTGGGTCAAACAAATGCTGTTTGTCAAACTACACTGGTCTTACTCTGCCACTAACAAATGCACCATGTACACACATGCAAGTGGCTTACCTTGGCATTGAAATCCTTGTTTCCCAAATCCCCTGCAACAAAAACACCAGTGTTAAACTTTTTTTCTGCCAAAGCAATATATAAGAGCTTTTAAAATTATCTTCTTAATATCACTTGTCTGTTTCAGTGAAATTAATCTCTAAGCAATAAATGCGCTTGTTAGAGCTATGGAAACGGTGAATAATAAAGCAAGATTTGAGGGACACAACGATCTGCATGCTCGATCACACAAAGGCTATACACGTGAACATATTAAACTTACTGAAGAACTAAAGCCTTGTTGACTAGATGCTCTAAAGATAGGATTCTGCCATCAGAACTGATATGAAAGTGAGTTAAGGCTGTCTGCATCAGCGGTTTTAAACAGGTGTGCATAAATGATGCTTACCATATGAAGTCTGTACAATGGCTGCAGAACGTCGGCTGCTTGAAAAACCTCGCAGTAAATTTATGGTTTTTCACTTCATGCACATTTTTCTGCCGCAAAGCACCTTTGCGGGCGAATCTGTTCCCGACCCCAGCTGAGTCATTATAATGTAAAAGATGGTCAGCCATAATGGGGAGGGAAAGAAAACCCAACAAAAAATGAAAAATAAAAAATCACACAGCCACAACTTGGTGTTGTCCCGACCGGTTTCTGTGAGGGTCCTGGTCTCTTCACAAGCTCTTGACAAGTGGTGGTGGTTCTGCTAGGGTGCTCCTGACAGACCGCACGCCTCCCCTCTGCCCGGACCACAGCTGAGCGCTTCTTTTTCAAAGTGACGTCGGTGAAGTCTGCCTTCACGTGCTGTGGGAATATTTAACTCCGGTTCAAGCGCACATTTAACCACACGACCGAGTTCATCAGAAGTGGTTTGGGGACGGTGTTTAAACACGTGAAATGGCACGTCCCTCTAATGTTATGTATTTGTATTAAGTCAGGGTATTTAGTTTTTATTGTACGCGTGAATATGTTTTTTAACATTGAGTTTTAGTGATGAATGAACCGAGGCGACATGTCCCTCCATCAGTTGTTGTCCATACAACAAACTGAGGGGGTCGTGCGCCATCTTGTGGACTTAAACGACATTACGGGGTTTTATTTTAGCCTGAGAATCATGCCAGGTGTTAGAGAGACCGGTCGAAAGTCCACAAAACCGGTCTTATTTGTCTACCTTTAATGTCGCTTAAGCTGGGAATTGAAGTCTGGTTTTTTTAGCATAAAGGGGGGTAATTAAAACGCTTTTATACATCAGAACACAAATGTTTAGTGTACTGGTGGGGATAAAAAAAAACAGTGCACCGTCTAATAAAACAAACGTCAAACATGGAGAAAGTAAAAAAAACAAAAAAACGATGTGCAGTTTCTATGGCAACAAGGGGACGCTGCGTGTCTACGGAAAGCGGATGTGGCGTAGCGTGTGGACGCTGGAGTTTTGAACCATTTTGAGCGGCGGAGTCAGTGCTCACTGTAAGTGGCCTTTCAGTCTTTATTGTAACTTTTTCGTCAACAGTGTGTCACGTTTAGTGTTGTTGGTCTGTTTCCGGAAGTCCGTATGAAACAATAACAACCCCGCGAAGGTTTCACCGGTCTGCTTTTGCTAGCTCGTGTGCTAATATCGTATCTGCGCTACAGTCCATCAAGCATCTGGGTTAGCTGACTTAGTTTGTAAACACTGCACGTTGCGGCGGTTATTAGTAATCACGTTGTGTTATGCACACACTCCGTGACACGTTGTTTTGCTGCTTGTTTCGTGTAACTAACGTTAGATATCCTCTCTCCGCCTGGTTTGATGTGAACGGTCAGCTATAAGCGATCCTTGTAGCTAGCTACCATAGGCACCGCTAGCAGATGGACTAACTTGTGTTCCTTCTTATTGGCTGCTGTAACCATTCATTCATCCCCTCAGATCACCATGAGCAGATACGACGACTCGTGGGAAAGGCTGGACTCTGAATTTGACCATTTTCTACTGGATATGAAGCCATATGTCCTTAAACACCACAACAAGACAGGTTGGATGTCACTTTTATCTCTATTCACTTCACTGAATGCATAATAGTTTAAACATCACTGTAGAAAACTATATTGCAGGCTATTTTGTGCTTTTCTCATACCATGCTAAGCAAATTAATGTAACTGAACAATAAACTGCTGTATTATAATTTGCCCTGTCCTTCTGTCTCTCTTCCTTTGACCCCAGAACGCCAGCGATGTGCCATATGGATAAAGAAGCTGTGTGACCCCGCCACATGTGGTTCAGGTCTGAGAGGTCGTAAGAACCGCAACATGTATGCCCGTTTGCTCCTACACATGCTCAAAAGAGGGATCCTGGAGTTGCCTTTCACCAGCAAACCAGAGCCTGGCAGCCTCAAGACACTCCCTACTTACATGGTAACAGTGACTGCTTTATTCAGTCATATTTAGCAGTACTGCTGTGCTGCCACGTGGTAGTGACATAGTGGTTTCAAACCTTCATTTGTACTATAATATAATGCAAAAAGGCTGTCATCGTCAAGTTTAAATGAAGAGATACTTGCATACATACTCAGTCAGTTACAAAAAAGTATTGCAGTTTGAATATAACGCATTTGAAACTCATTAAATAGCATTGCAATGGGTTGCATATACTAATAAGTTACTAAATCTTCATCTCCTGTCTTTAAATTTGAATTCCTAGTCCATCTACTTTGATGAGCCACTGACTGGTCGGCCTGTGGAGCACAGCAAAGCCGGTCTGCCTGACTGGGTGACAGGAGAGCTGGGTGGCTATGATGACAGTTTGACTGGCGGTCTGCTTAAGGACAGAACCAGTTCCACACCTGTCGCAGCTCATCACAGGTACTAGTCCACTGTACATTACATTAAATATATATTGCTTCACCTTTAAAAATGTACCTAAACAAAACTTGGCAATGACATCTGACTTTTTTCCCCCTCAAACCTCTGTCAGGCTCTCAGCTTTCTAGATTTAATCATTATTATGTACTGGCGTATGGTAATGCACAAAAAACTAACCTGGCTCCAGATTTTAAGGTACGATAACACCAGATGTGTATATTGGTCTACAAATTGGACAATTACTTGTAAATTCACTGTATATTACGATATTTATGGGATCTAATATTATCTGTCTTCACCAGTGATTCATCTTTATATTTATGTTTTATATTTACCTTAACTTTTGTATTCTGGCACCCCTCTCTTTTGAAATGCATCCCATTTTACGGTCAAATATTATTTTTGTATGTTCCTGCACAAATAGAGTTTATTGAAAAACACAGCTCTCCCCTTTTTCCAGCTGGTGACTTAACTTTTCTAATAAGAATACTGACGAGGAATCCTTTTGGTCAACATATAGCCGATAATATATTTATACAAGCATTCTGTTTGGTGTTCTTTTATCAGACTGAAAACACTGAACTTGGCTGTGAAGCTGGATATACACAGCTTTCGAGACCGATCACCCGTCGTATTTGTTCAGCAGCACTATCTGAAAAGCCAAAGACGTTGCCAAGTCCTTGCATCAGTCTGCATGAGCTGTCCATTCTGACTTTTCAAAGAGATGCACTTCAAAACAGCATGAGAGGATGAGGAACCTCTCATATTCTCTAGCCGTCTTTCTCTTATTCTCGTCTTTACACTTTACCCAATTGTTAAACCTGAGGTCTAACCTCCACAGAGTAGAGAGGAAAGCAGAGAGTATGGCTTGGAAGCCCATTAGCTTGTTCTCAGCTAAACGCCCAAAACATAAATGTATGTATTTTGGATTTAGAAATGTGCTGTTTGTTTAAAACAGCGTGACTGGAAGCCCATGTGCTACTCATACACACACACACACACACACACGAATACGCGCACGTGTGGGAACAACTCAGGGTTTTTCATTCCAATTAACAAGGAAAGGCAAATCAGAGCCCAGTGGCTTGATATGCTCATTAGCATAATAAAAAGAGAGCGCTGTATGTTAGTGTAAGTGTAGTAAAGAGAGCTTAATATCCACCAGGGCACTGTGTAAGAGTGAGTACAGGCCCTCTGCTGCCACATGTAATTGAAATTGTGCTGTCGGGGTTGTAGAATATTTGATCGTTAGAAAATGATCATTAAGAGTTATTTATTTCTGTAATATTTTGGATCAGTTAATTAAATTCAACAAAGCCTGTTGTTGCCTGATAGAGTTTATTTTCTATGACTTGATGTCTAGTAGTGAGGTATATTTACTTGATTACTGACCGGTTTGCATAAGAGATGCTA